AGCTGCTAATTTGCGTGACCGTGCAAACTAATGACACCAATAAAAAAGGAATTCGTCGGAAAGGCTTGTAAACAAGTGTGTCATTACTGGCTTAGGTCTGGCCTTTTCGGTCGAAATTCAATGATCGAGCTTACACTTTTGGCCTCCCCCTGCCTCGCGGGTATAGCAGAAGTTGCCGGCCCGAGTTCTCATTTCTGACCTTCTAATAAGGCCGCGCCAGTTACGCCGACACGCTCGCATTCAGCCGATGTTATGCACAGAGTGAATTACAAGCTTAGTATAACCCAACCTCGTGTGACGCGTTTCTGCGCACATGTCCCCATGGGCCGCTGATCTTTAAGGCGGCGGCTTCTGACGAGTAAATAGAGCAGTACGCATCTATTGACCTTCGGCGCCGCACCCGCACGTGAGCACAAGATACGGGCGTGTCAAGATAGACGTCTGTCGGAGAAGATGTGTATTATCATGCTGGTCACTCGTGACCGGAGTGCGAGGGCGTCGGCTCGCGAGGTGCAGTCCCAGGAACGGGCCGGGTCAGTGCGAGGCCGCCGGACGCCGCGCGCCATGAAGTACGACTACACCTGCAGCCTGCCGTTCCTCTGCGGAGGTGGGTGGATCTCCCACGCCCAGCACCCCGCTGGGAGCGCGAGGGGGCGGAATGTCGAGCGCACCGTTGCCGCCCCCGTGGCGAATTCAGCGGCCGCGGAAAGGTCGAGAGCGCCTACCCGTCGAGACTGTCAGCCGCCGTCTGCCCACAGGGAGAGCGGGTAGGTGGCTGGTGTAGGCTCAGATGACGACAGACCAGCTGGAAAGGAAGCGTTCTGACCCTCCCGGAGTTGCATTGCAAACTCAGTCGCATTTGAGTTATGCATCGGCTGGCAGCGAAAGGGATGGTGTGAGCATGCAGCTTGGATCTGCTGAACCTGCATAGAGGACTCAGGAGGTCGCAAATTTTTTGGAAGACTGCTTTGTTCTTCATGTGACATTTTTAAAAATCTGTGTTGGCTTTTGCTCTGATTCCCTATGTCTATGGGCACTTACAGGGCTGGAAGTAATTTGCAATATCAGCATACCACGCATACCACGCCATTTTCTTTTGTGCGCATGCAGGTATGTAGGAACTTAATCCTCCAGCACATTACCTCACGTAGGGCAAAAACACGAGTTGGTCACGCTTGGTACTTTAATGAAACCTGCTCTCCAAATAAGCTGCGTCCACTTTGATTATCGCACCTGCGACATGTGTCAATTTCCATTTGATTTAACCTTGGTCCGAATGACACCAAAAATGCCATTGGATCGATTAATAGAGAAACGAGGAACTTTTAGGGTTTCGTTCCTTTTGTTTTAAGATACCGCCTTCAGGGACGGGCAACCGAGCGAAATGCCAAAATAGGACAACCGGTCATGAGCAACTGGATGGATTTAGAAACATTTCAGCATTAAGTAACAGTTGACGTGCAATGTTTGCATTCGTTTTCAGTGACGTGTCCTGGTGGGTGGTGGGTAACGGTCCCCTCGTCCACAACCCACTGCAACCGTCATTAAGATGGGAGCCCTCGTGCGTTCGCCTTCCTGAGCACTTCCGAGCAACGAGCGTGCAGAGAACCGTTGGCCAGGCGTCTGCATTACAGCTCAGTGGCGGTAGCTGGTAGTGGAGGTTATGAGCAATATCCTCCACCAGCGGCTAGCCGCTCCCCTCCCTACCCCCTCCCACCCCACTAGCATCTCCGCTGAGCCACCTGAAAAGTCTCACGCGTACTTATCGCGCTGCTGTTTGCTTACAGAGGAAGGCGAGAAGATCACGCTGATGTACACCAATGACGAGGTAAGCACGAGACCGTCGCTGCGGCCTCAGTGCAGTACCGCGGAGTCGCACGGCGCATGCAGTATGCGATCCATACAACGTCGACGTTACGCATCGATTTGTGACAACCTGGCTGCGGGCCGTAAAAAGGTAACGATCAGCGCGCACGGAACCCGGGTCCCAGCCGGGATCTCGCCGTCAGCTCTCTGCGGGTGGAGTCGGCCAAGCGCAGTCGGTTTTTCGCTGTGTTCTGTCGGCTCAGCGACTTGATTGGGTCTCCCGCTGGGCCGCTGACGTCGACAGCGCTCCAATAGCCGCAGTCGTCGCCGTTGAAGGCGGTCACTGTCAGCGCTCCGTAATAACGTTACGTCATGCGCCGTGCTGTTACACACTCTTCTGTCATGGGTCGGGTGGTGATGTGCCGGGACGAAGCTCTGGTGAGCTGTCGTCATGCGCTGTGCTGTTATACGCTCTTCTGTCATGGGCCGGGTGGTGACGTGCCGGGACGAAGCTCTGATGAGTTGTCGTTGACGGGCAGACTCGAGCAACCTTTCCCTTGCCGTACGTGAGACGATTCGGTCTCGCTCGCTCAAGCATCTATATGAGCTGCATGCTACCACTCAAAATGCCAACTTAATGACACTGGTGGAGAGCACACGAGTACCGTTTTACGCTCGGTCGTCCCGTCTTGGTTCGACGCGAGACCGCTGACGTCGACAACGCACAAGTAACCCCAGCCGTCGCCGTTGAAGGCAGTTGCCATTAGCTCTCCGTAATAACGTCAATATAGCAGCCAATTCCGTAGTATGCCTGTCCGGTCTCATTCGATCGTTCTCGCTATCGTTCAACGGTCTGAAGACCTGCTTGCGAGAAGTGCTTCCACCAAGCCCATGTTTGTCAGAACTGCCCCTCGTCTTTCGCCTGAATCTATCATCAAAGATATCTCGAAAAGGAGACGCTTTACTTTATTGCACTGCATTGCGTTGAACGTTCTTCGGGCGGTCAACAATGAAACATAGGGCCAAAATACAGAAGTGGCTAGGGACAGGGACCACAGGGATCATCAAAACGTTGCATGAGAACGTTCCCTCAAACTAAATCAACTCCCTTCTAAATTCTGCTCTTTGGATGGATGACCACAGCGTTAATGTTGAACACTCACGGAAAGCGTGGGTTTCCTAGCTGACCTCCCTCTTCTTACGTCCACGTTGAGTGCAATGCGTGTCAACGTTTGTTATTGGCCGGTCCGTGACGGCTACCATGTGAACCGCCATGCACGGAGCAAACAAGAGAAGGTGTCACGTATCCATGCACACAGGAACATTGCTGCCAGTACAACATTCCAGTGAGCAGCTGAAAGATAATACAATTACCGAACGTTCTGATAGGTCTGCAGACAGGCCTTTCGACCGCGTCCTCGTCTCCTGCCAAACCAAGTCTCTCAATTGATGCAGCAATGCTGAGTCCTACACTTCACTGCCATGAGCTCACATTGCCTGACAGCATAGGTGTAAAGGATGACTAGAAGCATGCACGGAGCTTTTACTGCGTTCTGAATCTTAATGAGTACAAAGTTTGCAAAAGTGCATCCACCTTCGAGAAAGTAGCAACACGCTGCTTCTGGGTTATCGCACTATCGCAGTATCGATTATCGTACTATCGACTATCGCACTACCGGTTATCGCACTATCGCACTATCGTAATTGTCGGGAGCATATTAAAATCACCGGCCGGCAATGCACCTGGGCCAATCGGTTCAAATAGGTTTTAATATTTGCACTTTGCTTTTCGGGTGAGGTCTCATGCTTTAGCGGGGAAGTTTGGGAAATAATGCTTTGGAGTCGTCATGAGGCGGAAAGGAAACCAATCGCAATGTTTGAAACTACCCTGCTGGCCAGTATTGGTACAGGATATAATGCACCCGTCAATAACGCTAACACGCCGCTTCGACTGGCGCGATCAGTAACTCGCGTTGTTGCTCCGCCGGCTGCAGAAGGTGGCGATGAAGGACTTCAGCTCGGAAGTGCGCGCCTCCATGGACGTGTCACACTTCATCAAGCAGGCCCAGCTGCTGCTGGACGTGACGGAGACGTCGCTGGAGGGTGTGGTCGACCGCATGTTGACGGCGCTGCTGGAGAAGGAGCCCCTCACCACACGCGAGGAGGCCAAGGGGGTGCTCTTCGTCAAAGACTCAGGTGGGCATCTGCCTGGACTCGAGCAGATGCAACGGGCTGGGCCAGCTGGACTCCGTGCTCGGAGAACTCGGAGGCAGCCTGAGAACTCCGAGTGCCTCTGAGGATCGTTTCTTTTCTGAGGGTTTGTTCGACGAACTACGGTGCTGCTGCCCTCCGAAAACCTCCCCGTCGCTGATCGTCAGTTCGCCGTCAGTCAACGCTGTCTCGCTACCACAAGGCCCTGCCTAGCCGGTGCACAAGTATAATTAAAGCACCAGCCGCATGCTTTTGTTCTATTTCTAGGTGAATGACAGCTAAAACATGCTGTTAAGTGCTTACTGTCCTGCATTTTGCATCCCATCAAGTCTATTTATAATCAGAGAACATCTTATGCTGGAGTCTGAATCACCCATTTAATCAAGCTATGCGGATTTGTGAACTGTTTCCCTGCATGCTGAAAAAGTACGCACTTTTTACAATTAATAGTTTTACCTGCAGGAATGTAGCTGATTAAGTAGCATTGCAACCTAGAATAACTTCAAAGATAAGTTCATAATAATACTTCTGTCTTAATAGGTGACTAATACTACTACCTTATCTAAAAATAAGCTCAGTGTCAAGGCCTCCTTGAATAAGCCGCCGGCCGTTTCGCGGTTGCAGTGACCCAGCTGGCCAAGACGATCCAGGGCACATGCAGCAGTCCCGACCGCCACACGGACTCCAGCGACTACGACCAGTCCTGGACGGCTACCATGTAAGTGAAGCAAACGACGGTTTCTGGTAGGCATTCTTAAGCTGCGGTCACGAATGGGAAGCTGCCGAGAAGATGAAAATGGTTCGCTTGCTGGAATTAACTTTGGCTACGGGACTCACCTTTATTGATTTTCTTCTTCGATATTCGGATTTGCTCGTTTCGAGGGAAATTCAAGTTCTGACTGTGATAGGACGACGGGTCCCACTCCCACTTTCTGTTACCATGCAAATGTATTTATTTTTTGATTTCTGATTGCATATGTAAATTATATCAGGGGCACTGATAGTCCTGGAAAAAGGTGTATGTATGTTACACATTTCGCTGACTTCAGTTATACATTATAGAGAATAAAAGTCGCAACTATCTGATCTTTAGTTTAAGAGACAGTCAAAGTGTCTATATTAAGTTAACGCGTGGTCTTAACACGCGCCCAGGTGGCCTGTTAAAACCACATGCTTGCGTGTGTGAACCCCTTAGATCTTAAAAACTAGGAGATGCAAAATTCACCAAGCAACTGAATACCAACCAATCCAGCCGACTATTAACCATACAAAGCCAAAGCTACCAACCAAGTTCACAGGGAAGGTAGGCCCAAATGCTAACTCACTTATGCAAAAGTCTGAGGCCCCTATATCATGATGCTCAGGTCAGCTGAGGTCAAACAGGGTCAAACTCCAGATCAATGTCCGGGGAGCCCCAGGCCTCCCCATGCAACCACCTCTAACCTAGATACCTGTTCTCTGAAAAGGTCATTGATGTTCATTATAGGTCAGTGGCTCTCTTTGCCTTCAAAAGGTCATGGTGACCAAAACCCAACGAGAGTTCGATTTTTTTAATTTGGATAAGTGTCGAAGATAAAGTATGCTAGGCGGTATGGTGCCAACAGCAATAGGCTGGTTGGGGCACTTTACGTCAGTGACCTCATCTGACCTTCACTAAGTATAAATGCGATGCCTATTAACTTCTCTGTGATCGGAAAATTCGAAATGAACGTCCGAAACCACCGCACAGCAAGTTTTTTCTAAAAGAAAACAGTTTGGTCTTCACATTGGTCTGACCTTCATACCTGTCTCCAAGTCAATAAAATTCAATTTAATCATTAATTCAAGCATCCAGTTGTCTAAGAAACTGTCTCAGAGATGGACGTCTTCGTCTCACACTCCGTTGTCACATCAAGTTCACCGGTTCCACACGAATTTTCACCACAGACAGCCATGAACTAACTTCGACCTGCTATAGCTCAGTGACCTTTTAAGGAACACGCAATTTTGCACACCAAAAAATGAGCTATTGCATTGTCTGCAGCCGCACTAAATTCCACACGGCTACGCCACGGCTGCTCGAAAGTTACTCTGGAAAAACATTCGGGATGGGGATTAACCCCTCCCCCACCCGAGCGTGTGCTTATCACCGACATGTTAATGAGGAAACGTTACGTTAATGAGGGAACGACCGTTTTTTGGAACGTTATACTGATAAAATGTCGGCGACTATCGCGAAATTGCGAGCCGAGTACACACTGCAGAGCTGCGAGTGTAGGATTACCAAAGGTCGACATTTTGCGCCTGCATTGCATCCGCTGAGGTAAAAACGTCAAAACCAGCCACTTGACGCCCCCCCCCCCCCCCCCCCTCCTGCAGTACCCGGACTGCCTTCACCCTCCCACGTCCTGCCGTCGGTGACGTTAACAGCGTGATGTTTCGGTGGCCGTGACCGTGTTGTTGGTGGCCCAGGTGCCACCTGCCGGCCCTCCAGCGCCGCCACGTGGCCATAGCCCGGTTGAAGCACCCGGCCAACTTCGGACGCACGGCAAAGCACGTCAAGCTGTTCGTGCTCATCCTGGTGCCCAGCAAGGAGGTGGGTCGGTAGTGCGCGGTAACCCGCGTGTGTCACGCTCTCGAGTGCAGCCGCTGCGGCCTGCTGCCGGCCCGTCCGCGGTCCACTCTGGATAGTGTAGCCCACAGGGATGGAAGATGGCGTATGCGAGGGCATGTATGTCCGATTTCCGTCGGTATCGAACACGATGCTGTCAAATCGACTTCGGTGTAACACAATCATGCGCCTCGTTTTACCAGCGTACTGAGAATATAGTTTATTCGGTATCGACAGCGAGAATTCGCTCCATTATAGATCGCTGTTCCTAGCCTCCTGCTAGCAATTGGGGCCTTTGTGCTGCGGAAAACACTACTATAGCCCCTATCATACTTCCCGTGCGTTGTAGTTAGTGGACGTTTAGCTTTCATCATGATCTGGTAGATTGCTGGGCTCCACAGTGCAGATCTCAGCACTGTAAATACCGCGGCGTCTCCGCTGTCTCACATACTAACAACGGTCTGGTTCCGCAGAAAGGCACGAAAAACGCACTGGAGACGGCCCGTACGTTCGCCACCATCATCGCCGACATGGACTTCCGCCAGCGGCTGATGGAGGCGCACACAGAGGAGGAGTTTATGCAGCTCATCGTCAAGCACACCCAGATGATGGCCATAGAAGACGGAGACACCAAAGTGCATGCCGTCAACCTTGATGAAGAGCCGCTGGTGAGCTGGCGGACGTGGAAGTAGATGGAGACGAGGGAGGGGTGGGAGAGTGGGGAGCTCGCGTCATGCCATTCCTTCTCAGACCTGCGAAGACGCCTTCATGGGTGCTGCGGGCGTCGGCGGTTGGCATGTCGGAGATCGGTTGATGGAATGATAGAGGACTTCAGCATGCCTTCGCTATCACGTGCGCGCAAACAAATAATCGAGGGCGTTATCAGTGTTCGGACACACGCGAAGCATGGGTGCAGATTACTGCGTATCACGGTAATCTATCCAACATCGCATTTGCATGTTCAGAAGTGGTGGATCGCCAGTCATGCCGCCTGTAGCGACGTGAAACATCGCGTGACCCATGCTCCTCCCCGATTCGTGCAGGAAGATGAAAAGTGCTGCACCGTGGGCACCGGCCTCTCCGCCGACCTCAAGCGAAGGGCCTCGTTCTATATCCAGGTATGGGGAGGCGACGTCCCATGTGCCGTGTTATATCCAGGTATGGGGGACGACGTCCCATGTGCCGTTCAATATCCAGATATGGGGGACGACGTCCCATGTGCCATTCCATATCCAGATATGGGGAGGCGACGTCCCATGTGCCGTTCTATATCCAGATATGGGGAGGCGACGTCCCATGTGCCGTTCTATATCCAGGTATGGGGGGCGACGTCCCATGTGCCGTGTTATATCCAGGTATGGGGGACGACGTCCCATGTGCCGTTCAATATCCAGATATGGGGGACGACGTCCCATGTGCCATTCCATATCCAGATATGGGGAGGCGACGTCCCATGTGCCGTTCTATATCCAGGTATGGGGAGGCGACGTCCCATGTGCCCAGCCACATTACGCCTCTTTACGCTCCCGTTGGTTGTGTGCAGGCAGTGTTTAAGTGGGTGGTGTCTGCTTATCTCGAAGCCAGTTACTCCTACCAGCCATTTGGACAACTTCACCGTTGCTGGCGTTGAATTGTTTAGGGGGAGTGGGGTGGTAATGACATGAAGCTCAAATACATCATATTGTCAAAATGCGTGGAGAAAAACGAGCCTCATCCTGTGACCTTTCTTGCTTTTTAATGCTCTCAAACTAAGGCCTATCTACGTACTAGTTCTTAGTAATATGCTCAGTGTGTTGTCTTCTTAAACAGCATCAACGGTATTTAAGTTGCTGTTTGATTTCGCCATGGCTTACTTCGTTTGCTATCAGCTTTTTATTTCGCGCGATTTTTGCGTACCAAGCGTGCCTTTTACCACCAGGACTATGTTGACGGCTTTGTTGGGAACAAGACGCTGCAGAAGACCATATCGACCACATTCTTCTTGTATTTCGCCTGTATACTCCCCTCCATTGCGTTTGGAGTCCTGAATGACCATAACACAGGCGGAAAGATTGGTAAGGCGTCGTGAATGCAGTGTCGGTTCTGTCACGTTTTATTATTGGTAGTTTGCCGCCATTTCGGTAAGCGAGCTCTTTGGCTGTGAGAACATGCTTGCATGTTGTGAAAGTTGCATGCTGCAGATATTTTCTGAGGTCATGCAACACCACATTGCGCCGCCAAAAGTATACACTACCGATAAAAATAACGCAAAATGGCCTCACTGTTCTCTAGCAATAAAAACGATCGGATCCTTTCATTAGAAGGGTTGATGGAGCGATATCTGTGCATGAAGCAGTTGTTAAGTCTTAGCCTCAATCGCGCCAAAGTGGGACCCGTTCTGTCTAACCCACGGATCGCCGTCCGCTGTTCTAGATACTCCTCCAATTTGCTATCGCTAATCGCCAACCCGCTCCTGTCACAACCCGTAAATGTGTGCGCGTGCGTGCGTGCGTACGTGCATGCGTGCGTGCGTGCGTGCGTGTGCTGGGCTCCGATATTGCTGTAGTTACCTTGCCTGCGTTAACCAATGCGCGTCTGGAAACCCAGAGGTACGGGGTTTGAATCCCTGCTGTGCCCGCCCTTCACGCCAGGGTGAGAGGTAGGCGACGTCATATAGCCTCAGCAGCTGAGTGCGTCGGAAAGCCCCAATGACAGACTTGTGAATATCCCGTTGCCTTCACCTCCGCGCCACGCTTCGGCATCGGAGCTCATCTCTGGGCAGGCTTTGCTCAGATATCCTAACTGTACCTCGCGCCTTACAGACGTGAAGAAGGTGATCATCGGTCAGACGCTGGGCGGCTTGTTCTTCTTCGTGTTCGGCGGGCAGCCGTTGATGGTGCTGCTCACCACTGCGCCGCTCGCCATCTACATCAAAAGTAAGCGTGTGCGACGGAGCGCGCGGCCGGTTTGTCAGGCGTTCCGCTCGTGAACGTGTGGCGCGAGCACGCCGGCTGCGCACCGTGCCTGAAGAGCGGTCGAAAGGCCGTAGTGATGCATTGTGCTGCTTGGTGGGAATCTGCGCCGCGAAAACGGCCGGGGTGTGCATATGTTTGAATATGCCAGATTATTAGGCCCTGTGGTGGAAGTGATTACATCACATCTCTTAGGTGAGTGTGGAGTGTGTCCTGGCCACGCGAACCTGGCATTCGCCCAACATTTGGACCGCCTCGCACACGAGATCTTTGTGAGGAAGGTTGGCGGCACTTCTCCTTTGAGGGAAAACCAATAAGGCCATGATTATTGGCGAATGGTCGTCACAGTCGCGGGCAGATGTAATGATGGCGGGGAGATCAGGCAACACCGCACGCGCGCCAAGCACCCGGTGCATAAATAATGACATCGTTAATATCGCCTAGTCGCATCATTGGCGATTGCCTGGCCTGCAAGTTCCTGTCGGCAGAAACACTTGATCTCACGTGTCACATCCCGTCGTTAAGGATGTGTGATATTTACCACAGGCGGCCTCCAGCCGTGAAGAGCTTCTGATAGCTACCCTGACATTTGACATATGGTTCACATATCGCTCTGTCATCAACACCGTCCGACATTGATCCCTTGTGCCGCTTGCAGTTATCAAAAACATCTGCGACGACTTCGAGCTCGACTTCTTCTCGATGTACTGCGCCGTCGGCCTCTGGAACTCGTTCTTCATCATCCTATACAGCGTGTTCGACGTGTCGCGGCTGATGCGCTGGTCAACCCGCTCCACAGAGGAGATCTTCGCCCTGTTCATCTCCATAGCCTTCTGCGTGGACGCCACCCGCGATACCGTGCACAGTGAGCTTTGACGCTTGGTTACAAGTGGCTCATTCGTTGACGTACGGCTTTGCAAATGTATGGACTTACAGGTGACTTCCGCCTGGTTAGTGTGTGGCTCATTGGTTGGCATACGCTGCTGCGAATGCTTGGAATTGCTGATGACTGTTGGAAGGAGCTTCTAGTCATCGCCGGATGAAACGGCTTCGACGCAAATTAGGTTACCTTCTTCCGCTATCGAACTACGGGCTTAGTGATTGGGGCTTTTCGACGTGATCAGCAGCGGAGGCTATGTGACGTCGACTGCCTCTCGCCCTGGCGGGAACGGAGGGCACCACGGGGTTGAACCAAGGGTTTCTGTACCTCCGGCAGTGGTGTCTTCCAGGATAGTTACAAAATGGCCGCGTCAGTCGCCAGCAACACCCAATGGCGATAAAAAGCTGTGTGTTTCTCGCTGCGTGTTTGTTCTCCCACCATGGCATTACTTTGATGATTTCTTTGAAACCTTTGATGATGATGCGCGAAACTTCCGTCTGAACCCAGGGCGTATTTCAGCCGTCACTTGTTCACAAGCGAGAGTTTGAAGCTTGGATACTTCGTCAGAGCCGATTCACCAACGTCGAACATTTTCAGACTTTCAGAGGAACTACCTGTCTCCGGCGTGTCTGGGTGTCAGTGAGGGGGCCAACGTGACCAACTACGACGTCACCAACGGCACCGTGGTGGTGATAGACCAGTGCCTGCGAGAGAACAGCATGCTCTACCTGCTGCTGATGCTGGGCACGCTCTGGGTCGGCGTCTCCCTCTACAACTTCAACAAGACGTGAGTCCGAAGCGACACCGCGCCGATGCCGCGGCGGTCCGCTACACGGCGAGTGCAGCGCCGCGGCCTCGCTCGCCGCGCTCGCGAGGGCGACTCGAGGCCGTGTGGGAATCTGGCGATGGGCAGGGCTCCCAAAGAGGCTCAGTGGGCACGTGCTGGAGGTCGAGCCCCCATCCCCACCCTCTGCCACGGTCGCACGGGGCGCAGTTATTGTGGCGCCAAAGGGATGTTTTTTGGTCTCCTGCGAGGCCAATGGGAGCACGTTCGTCGCGCCGACGGAAACGGGTGTACGTGCCTGTAAGGTAGAGGCGCTAATCAGGGATGGTGCACTGTTCTCAAGACGCTCTGTGATCTCTCGCCTGCTACGAACCGTGAAAAGAGTATCATGCATCTCCCATGCGTGCGTCTCTAATGCGCGTTTACTGTTAAGTCGTTAACTGTTTTTGCTGTTGGAAGTGCTGCTTACCTGGCTGCGCTATTCGCTGATCGTACGGCTAATTCTCTGGAACGGTCAGTCATCATCTGAATGTGACCTTCATCCGGCTTTCAATCATTACCAGATTGGAAAAGTTGCTCTCATACCCCCTCCCCCTCCCCCCTCCTGCGTGGACGAAGGTACAATGCTGTCCATCGTACACTATTCAAGAAAGGTCTCTGACAATGTTCAGGAAGACTGTGAGGCAAGAAGGCAGCATATGCTGCTGTGCCGCGCTATGACGTACCCTTTCCGTTGCAGGCCGTACCTGGAAGCCAACAAGCGGGAGATGCTAGCCGATTATGCCCTGCCTGTGGCAGTCCTTGTTATGACGTTCATCGGATCGTTCCTGTTCAAAGAAGTAAAACGTAAGTTATCCCATGTGTTCTAAGCGGCCTCGTTCTCAATGCAGTCCTGGACATCAACGTTTTGCGAATATCCTGAGTTTGACCATTGCTCACCACTCAAAAGCGGTGTCTTTTCCCAGTGCGATAATCGATAGCCTCCGCTCCTGTTTTGATCCGCTCAATAAAAGCGGACACTCATTTCCCTATCGACGCGTGTACCCCTGCGAACTCGGACGCCCTGTGCGTACCTGGTGTGGTCGGTGTGACAGCGTGCCGCCTCCGCCGTCGCTAGTTGATGCCGTTCCACTACCGAGGCGAGAACGCCATCGGCTTGGTCTCCATGAGCGGGATGGGTGCGGGCGCCGTGCTCGGCAGCGCCGGTCTCGGCTTTCTGCCTCTCCCTGCTCTTCTTCATGGACCAGAACATCTCCAGCGCCATGGTCAACAACCCCGGCAACAAGTGAGTCCGCACGCCACGGCGGCGGCGCTGGCGTCTGGCTGAAGCCAGCCGTGCTGAACTCTGACCAGAAAAAACCCGGAGCCGGTGGCCCAGACGAAAACCGGACTCTTATATCCAGGCAACGTTGTGCAATGC